GATGGATAACGGTATTCTCACAGTTTGTCATTAATAATTTTACTGAATTATCTTTGACCTTCAATAGACACCAATATACCTGAAGACCCGCCTTCGGGATCTAGAGACAACGAAGTCCGCCCTGTGGGTGAGGATGACCTGCCACTGGGAGGGCTTTATGCCTACGAACCCGATAAAGATGGTCGCACCCGCTATATTCGGCTTCTGTGGCCTCGCGATCCCCGTGGGGGACTTCTCCCTAAACCAGGTCCTCTCGGCAAGCGTACTCCCAACCATGTCATATGGGGGCATGATCTCGACGAGATCCTCTGGATCCGTCGTTTACCGACCTCGAAACGCGGTGTAGTCCACAGTGTCTGGTCCCGGAGTATGATTAAAGAACTTGAAGAGTTTTACATCGAGGATACTTGGAAGCTCGATCATCGCGCCGCTATACCACACCTTCGTAAGCCGTATCCGGTACTCAAACTCCAAGTACCCAAGGACGACCACATTGGCGATTATCTTTTCAATGAGCAAATAGTAGATTTCAATTTGGCGTGGACAAGCTGTCCAGTCGGCCCTTTGACTTACTTTGAGGCTCGTCGTCAGGTCTCCGAAGACGCGGAAAAAAAGGTCGTAGTCTCCAACGATAACAATATGCCCCTCGCCAACCCAGCCTCGCCGCAGATCTCTAAGGTTAAGGACGGTCAAGGTCTGTCAGATCTAACTATGAACGACCCTACGGATACTGTGGCTACTAACAGACCTCGTGATGCTACCGGTGACTTCACTTCTGTAGAGACCCAGGCGGTGGCCTCACTTGATACCTACCGGCCACTTGAAAGAGTCAAGAAAAATAACAATCCCAATATTTACGCCTATCAGAAACAGAGTGATTACAAGAGACAGGGAAGAACAGCCGATCTTCCTGCTTACTGCTCGACTTACCATTACAAATCCTATGCTACGCCATATCCTCTTGCATCTCCTCCTCGTAACTCGCCTTTCAGCGTAGAAGATATTCCAAAGCTCCAAGAAGCTATTCCCGATGCCTTCATGCCCGACTTCCTGCTCGTGCATGACCCGCACAACGTGACCTTTTGTAGAGGTTTTAACACCATAGAAGACAATCTCCATCTAACCGTCCCTCCACCCCGCAAATATCAACGAATTTTCCCCAAGATTTCAAGAACCGACCTCGACATTCCAGAGGTTTGCAAGGCTCGGGATACAATTTCCCACCTATATCTTCACCAGAAGAATCGCCTTGGTGTTGGCCACCATTCACTTGTCTACCGCGTTCCATTTTCTCTTCCACCGCCGCTCTCCGCGCATTCCCGTAATGGCAAAGTGATGGTCACAGCCAAGCTCGCGATGTACACTACGGAGGACCGACACATGCTCTTGAATGAGGCGCGAGTTTATGACGAGCTGCCCAAACACATGTCGGAAGATTGGTGCGGGTACAACTTCATCCCGCCGATTTTACAATCCGTACCTGTGGACCCCGTCGTACCCAAGTTTTACGGATTTTATAAACAAGTGAAGGAGGATGGGACGTTTGATGGTCAACGCAGTCCAATCTTGTTGATGGAAGAGTGTGGGAGACCCATCAAGCCGGAAGAGCTGAATATGGACCAAAGGTTAGCTGGCCCAAAGATACCCAATCTCTCAGATACTGACTTTACCTCTGCCATCACACCAGAACGGAATGCATCTCCCTGCTGCTCCGCCTCCACCTCGAGAACTTTTTCCATGGTTCTTTCTGGGTCCGCAACATCCTCCGCCAACCAGGCCCTCTGTATCGCCCACCTGAGGAACGGTCAGATGATACCCCAAGTTTCAGGCTCATTGATCTCGGAAGAGCGTCGCATATCAGACCTGTCAGGGACGGCAAGCAACTGCCTTCCGAGGTAATGGTAGATATCTATAATGAGCTGGAGGAGGCGAAAAAAGAGATACTCTATAGACCACCAGGACATGAATGGTGAGGTTGGTATACATGCCACACTGATTCTGTACGCGTTGGGATTGGTATCGAATTTCTTTTGTTTTCTTGCTGGAGTAGAAACACCCATGGATTGGACTAGACCGGTTGTGAAGATTATGGCCTTGAAACAGATTTTGTTCGAAAAGCGCAATGTACTTGTTTTATATCCGGATGTATCGCTGTTCGAGTGTACGATTCAATGCTAGCTATCATAAAAACTCCCGAGAGCACTATTCAAGTTGGCACCGACACTTTCAGTCGAGCCTGAGTAAGTTACAAGGGAAGCCTGTAGCCTGTAGGCCCGTACTAGCCTAGTGCCTCAACCTGAGCACCACGTGGTTTTGATGGCACGTGCCTCAATCCAATTATTGGCGTCTATCGCCGCTCACAACTTGAATCGTTTCAAAGTTCAAACTTTTGAGAGTCGGGGTGACTCAGTTATGGTGGTAACTCAAATTATGCTCATCGCATTGTTGTGTCACCATTGTCGTCGTTGGCATCTTGTGTTTGGCTAATGAATGAGGCTTTGAAGTTACACAATAATTGACCTTTGTCTAGTGACCTCGTGGCCCTTTTACTGTATCACGGTCGCGAGGCAGTCATACGGCTTCTATATATCCGGGACCAACACGTTTATGGACGCGTGGTAGCCCAAATACAAGATATATCAACTTTGGAGGTGTGTACTGCAAACCCCCGTCCGTTGTCCTTGACATAGCCTCACCTTTTCGTAGAAGACATGCCCGCTCCGACGGGTTCAAGTGGCTCCAGACGCAGCAATCGATATCCCTATGGAATACCTCCGAGTATTCTTGAACTGCAGCTGAAAGGACTTTTGGCCTACGAACCCGATGGAGAAGGACGCACTCGCTACATTGGTCGTAAATATACTCGCGACGACGGAGGAGGATATCTGCCCAACCCAGGTCCCCTCGGCAAACGTACTCCCAACAATATAATATGGGGACACGATCTCGACGAGATCCTCTGGATCTCACGCTTCCCAGGAGAGGGGGACCTCAGCAGAGTACAGACCGTGTGGTCGAGAAGTATGATCAAAGAATATGGGGAGAACTACATCGACGAGGCCTGGCGGCTCGACAGCCACTATGCTACACCGCACTTTCGCAAGCCTTGGCCGGTTCTTATGCTAAAAGTGGCTGAAGACGACCATATTAACGATTATCTCTTCGATGACCAGATAGAAGGTTTCAATCAGATCTGGGAACGCTGTCCGGATGGACCTTTTGCTCATCTCCCATTCCGTCGCCCAGTTCCCGAGGACAAGGAAGAAGAAAAGGTCGTAGACCCCAGCAACGATGGTGCAGCCGCCAGTTCTACTGTATGCTCTGAACTGAAGCGATGTGAAGAGTTTCGAGCGCTGGCATCGGGTGATAGTACAGAATCCAGCGGTGTCGAGTCTGTCGACAAACCTTCTGGCGCTGTCAGTGATTATATTTCTAGAGAAACGGAGGCAGAGGTAGCTCTTGATGACTACCAGCCACTCCAGCAGCTCAAGAGAAATGCCCGCATTTCATGTTACCCTGACCTAAGGGAGAGTGCTTACAAGAAACAGGGCCGAACGGCTGAGCTCAGAGCATTTCGCTCAACTTACGACTACAAACCCTACGCTGCGCCAGATCCTGGTGCACATGCTCCTCGGAATTCACCTTTCAGTGTGAAGGACATACCGAAGCTCGAAGAAACTATTCCGGACGCCTTCATGCCCGATTACCTGCTCGTCCATGACCCCCACGATGTCACCTGCTGCGCTAACGACGCCCTTGAGCGTACGGAAGATAAACTCCTTTCTGCCGTTCCTCCTCCCCGAAAATACCGACGCGTCTTCCCCGAAATCTCAAAAACCGTTCTCGATATTCCAGAAATTTGCAAGACGAGGGAGACAATTGCCCACCTCTACCTTCACCAGAAGAATCGCTTCGGCGTAGGCCACCACTCTCTCGTTTACCGTGCTCCACTTGCTCTTCCACCACCGCTTTCTGCACACTCGCGTAACGGAAAAGTCATCGTTACAGCGAAACTCGCGATGCACAACCTAGATGATCAGGAGATGCTCAGGCACGAGGCGATGATCTATAACAAGATGCCCAAGCATATGTCGGAGGATTGGTGTGGTTATAACTTCGTCGCGCCAGTCGTACAACCAGTACCTGTGGGACCCGTCGTCCCCAAGTTTTATGGGTTCTATGAGCCTGTGGAAGATGACGAGAGGTATCCTTATAAAAGAGAATGCAGTCCTATTCTATTGATGGAGGAATGTGGGAGACCTATTGTACCGAAGCGGTTGAGCGCTGACGAAAGGTTAGTTCATGACGCTTGTTGACAGTTCAGCCTCTAAGCACTAACTACCGCATTCTAACAGAACGGAATGTCTCTCACTGATGTTTCGTCTACACCTCCAGAGATTTGTGCAAAACTCTTTCTTCATACGCAACATCCTCCGTCAACCGGGCCCTTTATATCGGCCGCCTGAAGAACGGTCGGACGACACGCCAAGTTTTCGTATCATTGATTTCGGAAGGGCGTCACTCTTTAAATACGATGAGGATGATTCGTTCAAAGCAGACATGGAAATCAGGGAAGAGCAGAAGTTGGCAAGAACAGAACTGGGTCTCGACCCGCTTGGATTTTCCTGGTGAATTTTGTGTGTATGCTAAAGATACTTCGGCATGTAGTACTAGTCGTCCTCTACTTTAGAACTCCTTGTATCTTTCTCTTGGAGCAATGAGGATATCGCGCAGTATCTTTGAATGAGTTAAGTTTGAACAAAGATTATCTAGCAGGTGGCGCGCGCAAGATATCCCGTGTAGAGGGTTTGTATAGACTGTCAACCTGAACGTGATGAATTCTTAGAATCTGCTCGTCTTTCGCGGGATCCAAACTTTCTCTCTTGATTTACTAGTCACTTATACATCTCAATATTCAATAGGACTATCCCATTAGACCATGCTGCGTAGCTGTAGTCACTGTGACTAGTTACTTGAATACTATTCGGAACGATCTTCAAGGACCCCTAGCTCAGTGGTAGAGCGTAAGATTCCAGCTTTGTATTGCGTTTCTCTCATATGAGATTTCGGAATAAGCGCCTCCTTAAGGTCATCCGTTCAATCCGGGTGGGGTTCATTTTTCTCTATTTTCGTTTAAAATACTCCTCTGAATTATTTCGAGGCTTTCCGACGTTGTGCACGCCTAGAATTTATGGAACGGTTGCGAAAGCACCAATAGGCGCCTTTGAGACTCGCATCGTTTCCTCTTTGGGAAATGTTCCGCGCCCGTTTACATCCTTGGACACGGACCAAGTCATCATATGATAGTAGACTAGGCACTTTGCTACTAAATTACTTTCTGTACAAAGGTCAGTAGCCGAGTCGTGACCTTCCTCATGTTTACGTTTACAAACATCGTTTCATCATCAGATTAGCGTTTGAGTCATCTGCGAGAACGTTGCAGTGGCACGTCTCGTATGTTAGAACAAATTGATCATGCTTTGGTCTAGGAATAACCGACTCTCACAACGCCTGAAGAGGCGTCCATTACAATTAGCGCACTTTTCCAAGGCTTCTTCGAGCAAACCCATCGTCCACATTCCTAAATCCTCCATCTATTCTCTCGGCGCAGGATCATCGACGAAACCACTTTTCCACGGCGTCTCTTGGACTATACAACCAGATGAAGCCTGGGTAATTACAGCCACGAGCTCTGGGGGAGCGAAGACTCAGCTGCTACAAGCTCTCACCGGACACCTCAGGATACACCCTTTCCCTCCTCCACCTGGCGGACTCTTTCCCTTCTTAGAGGGCCTGGACCCGTACCATCACGTAGACCTCGTAAGCTTTGCACATCGACCGCGAGGAGCTGGAGGCGCTTTCTATGACTACACCGCGCGTTATGGTGCAGTTCGGGAAGAGGACAAGCGGACGTTGAGGGAGACGTTCTTTCCGGAACTCGCCAAGCCGCTCCACGAACTGGCGTTACCGGACTTGCTCGTACGGTCCGAACGTGACGCGCCTCAGGATGCTGAACACGTCAAGAAGCAAGAGGCAAAGAGTAGACTGTTTGAAAAATTGACGGATGTGCTAGGGTTGGGGGAGTTTTTGGATTTACCTATGATTGCGCTTAGTAATGGTCAGACGAGAAGAGCGCGTATTGTCAAGGCTCTGCTAGAGCAACCTGAGCTACTCATTCTCGATGAACCTCTCAGTATGTACTTCTCGTTAACGAGCCTATTTACATTCCGCTAACATTTCATCTTTCCTCGCAGCCGGACTAGATATCGCCACCCGGAGTCATGTGCTCGGCCTTCTACAGTCACTGCATGCAGAAAACTCCCCGCACATCATTCTGGGGATGCGACCACAGGATCCTATCCCTGACTGGACGACGCACTTGGCGCTGATACGCAAGGATGGCACGGTCCACACTGGCCCTAAAGAAGCAATTCTGGATGCCGAAGGTGACACTCTTCATTCTGGGTGGACCGCACCTCCGGAGGTTAGCCACAAACCCACGAAAGAAGCAAGCGAGGCAGTGGTCCATCTTTCTGGCGTCAATGTCGCCTACGGTGATCGCAAGGTAAATGGGACAGTTTCTATTGTTTATGTATTTCTTACCCATCGTACTCCTATCAGGTTCTCAAGAACATCTACTGGGACATCCACCGAAACTCACGCTGGCACCTGATTGGTTCCAACGGCGCCGGCAAAACTACATTGTTGGCCATGCTTACTGGCGAACACCCACAGTCGTATACCCAATCCTCCCAAATGAAGCTCTTCTCTCGTCCTCGAGCAAAGTGGCCTACTCCACACCTCCAAGCTCGTATCGGACGAGTCTCACCGGAGATGAACAACGGCTTTCCCAGGAGACGCGGTATGACGGTATGGGACGCTGTTGGGACGGGATTTGAAGGCAATTTCACTCCTCGCGGCCGGTTCAAAGTCGGTTTTGGTGAAGATGGGAGTCCATTAGAAGAGGGCGGCGAAGAGGAAAGATGGCGTGTAAGGAGAATGTGGGAGGTGATCAGGGCTTTGGGGCCGGCGACATGGAGGGGCGAAGGGAAAAGTACAGCTGAAGCACATGAGGCAGAAGCATTTTCGCAAAAGGCGTTTGTCGATTTGCCAGGAGGTGAACAGTCGATAGTATTGTTGATGAGGGCGCTGGTGGGGAGGCCGCCGTTGGTGATACTGGACGAAGCGTGGGCAGGTATGGATGAAGGGATGGTGGAAGCAGCGAAGTTATATTTGCGTGAGGATGGTCTGGAGGATGGGCAGGCGTGTATCGTGGTCAGCCATTGGGAAGAAGAGGTGCCCTGGGGGAGGACGGATGGTGTTAGGAGGTTCCGGCTACAGGAGGGTTTTGGCAACGAAGAATGAAACAAGAGCTCTCCAATCAATAGCATCGGTGGGTATGTACTCTGCAGACGTGGTAATACGTATTGCTTATTATCACTTCGCTAGTGGCAAGTTCGAAAGTTAAGAACTGCTATAATACTATCGTACCTCACAACACACTTGAGGAGATGTTGGCTCCGGGCCTGAGTCGTGACTTTGGCTGACAGCCCCAATTATATCGTGTATACTCGACTCGGAAATGTAACCCCCTACTGTATAGACGGGGAACCCAACGTAACTGTTTATTGCCTTTAAGGGCAATACCATCAGCGGTCAGCCGCCTACACGCGCAACCTTTCGGCGCATTATACCGCTGATTACGTGATTCGGCCCATCCAAGGTTTCGTTAAAAGCCTCTTGAACTAACGAACGCAGACAACACGCAGCTGGCTGTTGTTTCATTGTGCGGCACGACGTGTTTGGGGGCGCAGCAACTGTATCCACAGACCTGGGAACAGTTACCGTCAGTGGTGGCCGTTCCGAGAGCAGCCGCGGAAAACGTACGTATACGTACGGCAGGTCGCTGATGGTTGTGTTCGCCGCTCAGAGTCCGACAGATTCAATGAGGTGTTTTCAAAGCGGAAACATTGGCACTGGTACTACTCTGTCCTCGTGTCATTTGCCCGCCGCCTCCTGTCTCGATTTAAGTAGATGAGCTGGCTGCGACTGGTTCACTCGCAACTCCTCTCACCTTTGACCCACACACAGACACGCAGCACTTTCACCATGGCCGCTGCTGTTGGAACAGGCCTCTTCAGAGCCATCACAGTCTCTCCTCCGTTGCATGGCATAGTAAAGCATGAACCCGGCGTCAAGCCAGCACATCACTGCGGAACCAATGGATGCTTCACCAACCCGTGGCCTTCCTTCCGGTGAGAATTGTTTTCTAGGCATGAGTTTTCATCATAGAATTAACCTAGGCCTTCTCAGGGAGCGGCCGAGGTGGAATATGTTCTTCTCGGTATGACCGTTGGTCGTGCATCTCCTGAAGTTTGCAATCTCATCAGTCTTTTCTTCAATTCAACAGGTCCTCTCAAACCAGATACGTAACATGCCAAAGGTGCCTGATAACATATCTTCTCTGATCCCAGCATCTACTCCTAACTGGGGCATGGGTGAGAACGTTAACTCTATCAAGGCTACATGGCTTGGGTAAGCCCGTTAATTAACCCAGTGTGCCTAGCTATTAAACTGCAAGACTCTAGGCATGCATGCTATCTTATCGAACTCCCAACACCAGCAGGTGCTACGCGAGGAGCAAGAATCATCCTCGATCCTGCGCTTTCTCACAGGTGTTTCTCGTCTGAATACCTTGGCCCTGGGCGTATCACACGTAGGTTGGAATTTCGTCTACCATGCGCTTTGTTGCTGAAATAAGGGTGTTCAATAGCGGTGCCTTGCAAGACTGAGGAAATACCAGAAGTCGATGCGATTGTTCTTTCGGTGAGTCTAGATTCCTTCAAAACTATCACGACTTCATGCTCACTTCAACGACTAGCACAATCACTACGACCAGTAGGTCTCCGGCCTTCACCTTACATTTTTTTTATTCACTGACGCTCTTCGATTGCCGTACAGCACAGACACCAAATCCCTCCAAAAACTCGTCAAGCAACACAATGCACACGTCTTCGCACCTCTTGGTAACAGGCCCTACCTTGAATCATGCAGCATTCCTCATTCCAACATCCATATTTTCGACTGGTGGGAATCAAGTCAAATCACCGTTGACCTCCCTTCTTCTGCCAAGTCCGATTCTTCCTCTGAAGGCCATAACCAGTCTTCCACTGTCCAAGCAACATTCAAAGTAATCTGCACACCTTGTCAACACTTTTCCGGACGGTCTGCGAATGATCGTGCAAAGACGTTGTGGGCCTCATGGGCCATCGAAGAGATCCTCTCCTCCCCCTCTATCCCCGGGTCTGGAGATGGCGAAGCTCGAGCACCGAAGAAAATCTGGTTCGGAGGCGATACAGGGTATCGCACAGTGTTTGATGGGGAGAATGAGGATGATGTGCCTGTATGTCCTGCATTCAAGGAGATTGGCGAAAAAATCGGGCCATTCGACTTTGCTATGATACCTATTGGGTTCGTCCAGCTTTATTTCGCCATTTTTTCAGATAACTGATAATATTGTGTGGTTACAGGGCATATGATCCGCGTTCGCTGTTTTCGAGCGTACACGCCTCTCCGAAGGATAGCGTCGCTATCTTCAAAGACGTCAAAGCAAAGAAGGCGTTGGCTATGCACTGGGGGTATGTTCATGTCTCATCCTCCAGCTGTCATACGATATCTCAGTGCTAAGCGGCTTTTACTACGAACAGAACCTGGATACTCACCACAGAGCCTATCATGGATCCTCCTCGACTCCTAAAGGAAGAGTGTCATAAATCAGGCGTACCTGAGGGTGATTTCGATATTTGCGGACTGGGAGAGACTAGGTTCTTCTAAGTCGGGAATGCATACGCATACATGAGCACTCGGGTTATGCCACATGTATACGGAGAGTACATACATGGACATAGGAGTAGAGATAGTTTACGTTCCTTGGTGGTAATGGATAGTTTGCTCAAGCCGTCGCTCGTGTTTTCTCTTGCTATCAGGCCATAAATATCAGCGGTGAGTACCATCAACACAGGCTCCTACTCGGACATTACATAGCTCTGAAAAGAATGCTGCAGGCCTGGCGTTCAAAAAGTCATGCATAAACGCTACATCGATACAACGCCGTTC